AATCTAAATTCTATATTGATTGATTATGGTGAAATCAAATGCCTTCAAATTTTAATTCTTAGTTTTACTTAAAATCAATTTAGTTTTTCTTTAATTGCTCTAGTTAATTATTTTATTTATATTATTTAATTTCAATTGTTTAAATAAAATTAGAATTAGGTAATTTTGATATTTAATTAATCTACAATCTTTGTACATAGGACGTTACTCTATTCTCATCATTATATTACTTGAATTGATTAATACTCTTACTAAAGTGAATTTAACTCATCAGCTTGCACACTATACATAAATGGCTAGGTCTCATATTCATGTATCTACTCGATGAGAGTCGAATTTGAAAGTAGTCAATAGACAGGAAGTACCAGGAAATTCTTAACATTGTGATCTTACAAACTCTATTGCTTCTTCAATTGCATTATCAGACACTTTCTCTATTTAATTATATTATTTTTAGTGTCTTGAAATTACACACATCAATCCTATTGTTTCCACCCATGCTACCAGAGCAATTGCATGTGAATTTGGGATCCAAAGTCGATTTTCAATCTATTGACTATTTGTTAATTGATGTTGACTAGGGAAATTTGTCAAGAAGAAGAAAGAAGGGACTCAATTGAAGAAATTAAAAGTTAGAGGGGTGAAGTTCATCAAAATGAATTTACAAACCCAAACCCAAAACCCATCAAACCCAAACCAAAATTACCCAGAAAAAACTCAAACCCAAAACCCATCAAAACCCAAACCAAAAATTACCCAAGACCCAAACCCAACCAAAACCCACTAAATTATCCAAACCCAAAAAAAAAAGAAAGAAAAGAACAAAAAGAGAAAAAGGAAAAGGTGTCTGGAACCTTCTCTTTCCCGATCAATCTGTTTTTTTTCCCCGAACCAGCCTGCGCCCTGCGCCTGCACTTTCCCCTTTGCGCCCCTGCGCCCCTGCTGCACCGAGCCCGCACCCCCGATCAGACCCAGATTTCCTTTCTCTGCGCCCCCTACTGCACCGAGCCTGCGCCCCTGCGCTCCTGCACGCCCGTGCCTTGCACTCTGCTACACCTGCACTCCTGCTTCTGCCAAAAAGCCGGATCCTCTGCTGCACCAGATCCCCTTGCCGCCTGCGGCGCCGAACCCACGTTGCTTGCACGCCTGCACTCTGTGCCAGCATCATGACCCTGCACCGAGCCTTGCTGCACCCCTGCTGCTCTGCCTCTGCACGCTACAGCAGCTCCAGACAAATTAGCATTATTATTGATTGACAGAGCAAGGCTTTTTTATTATTTTTTTCTTTATTTTTATCTTTTATTCGGGTATATATATAGAGAAAAATCAGATTGAAAGGGGGGGATGGTTGGTTGATTTTAGGTCTGTTTTGTTGGGGAGTTTCGGCTGAGCTTCGAGAGCAATAGAAGGGGTTTTTCTGGTCGATTTTCGGAGCTGGAAGGGGATTTCTTCTGGTATTGAGGCCGGGGTTTCTGATTTTGGAGTTTGATTTGGGAGTCATTGTTCTGGGTTTCGGGGGTTGGAGAGTTTTTGAAGTTTGATTGAGGGGTTGGTTTTGGGTTGATTTTGGGTCTGTTTGCTGGGGAGTCTCGTCTGAGTTTTTGAGAGCAGAAGAAGGAAATTCTGAGGAGAGGGGGGTCTTTTGCTGGTTGATTTTCGAGTTTAGTTTGAAAAGAAGATCGATTCTGCTCGCTGGAGGTGGGAAAACAAAAGGGTATTCTTGCTTTAGGTAATCTCCTGAACAGAGGGATTTTTGGGAAGGATAGTGAAGGAG